TTAGATGTGTCAAAAAAGTGCTGAGGTCCTTCCAGCAGCTACAGCAGCACCATAGGTAAGTCCTTCAGTGAACCTCCAGATGCCTCCAGCTTCTAAAACGTTGAAACAAATTTACTGAATGCTTTAATCATTTTTGAGCTATCAATACAATGGACCACGCTCAATGGTGTGGCATGAGCACATGCACTGCATTTAGGTGGCTGACAGCACTCTGTTGCTGTGCCTTCAGCAAAGCAGGATGCCATGAGCACAGCATGGGAGCCCAGGCACAGGTTTAGGTAGGTTTAGATGCACTGCAGAATTATCTGTGTTGTTTAATTACAACTCACTGTGGTATAAAGGAAGGAATAAAGTTATTGCTGTGCTGACAGCTTGCTGGAACTTCCATGTTAAGCACATCCACTGTAACTGGGTGCCCTTCTCAATGGCACTGGTACTCTCACAGCATTTGATGGGAGCACATCATGAGGAAGTGCCAAAGAAGGTATAGAGAATGGACATAAAAGGGTTTTTGGAAAACAAAACAAAAACAAAACAAAAAACAAAAAACCCACAATATTCAGAGTATTTTAAATAACGCTACTAAATGTTGTAAAGGTTAAATCTCTAAGCATAGAAGGTAACTTATATGGTGTGCATGTTTATCTCTGCAGCAGATAAATAGCAACAGTGGATGTGAACATAAAGGAAGAAGATCTGCGCATCTACTGTCAGCTCAGTGTGATTTCTGAAAGGACAAAAAACCCTTCAGTGTTATTTTTAAAAAGGCACTACAGAGGAAAAATATTACCTGACCTCAATATATTTTTCTCCCCGATTTTGTTTTTTGCATATAATGTGCCTAATTTTACACTTTGATGGCTCCCACATCATTCATTTTAGGTCACCCAAGAACATTAAAAACAGAACAGTGCTCCAGAATGATATATTGAATAACAGCCAAAATTGTGTTGTTGAGCAAGACAGCGGAATGGGGATGCACCAGTGTGACAGCAGAATTCGCCTCTCCTTCCACTGCCTTTTGTTAAGAAGGAAATAGGCTCAATCCAGCAGGAGCACTAATAGCACCACATGCAGCCACAGGTGCTCACAGCTACAAAGTATGTAAAAATTAGGAAAAAAACCTCTAAGTGCATGGGTGGATTTTTCACCCTTCTTTTAGAGTTGCAAGGCAGCAAAGGGTCTGAGCCACTCCCAGCAGTTCTGTGCTGCGATATCAGCAGATGAGAGCAGCACGGTGCGAGCTGTAAAAATGTGGTTCACAGTATCAGCCCTGTCCCAACCATCACAGTGCTTCACACCCACCTCCAGAAACTGCTCACTCGTGCATCTATGGCCTCATTCCTTTCAGCCCTGACACTCAGACATCTGTGTGATGAAAATGCTCAGAGAACATTTTATACCTCTAGAATAAAATACTCTATGTGTGCTGCTTGCTAATTACTCAATGATTTTATTTACATGCATCCTGAAATCTCTCCTCCAGAGTTGCAGGTTAGGGGATTACAGATGTCCGTCTTTGAGAAGCCAGTGGGACAGCAATTAGTTTAAATGAAGAGTAATACGTATAGTCCTTACCATTAATTAGCAACAAGCTATTTCTATAAATAAAGATCCTTTCCTCTTCCCCACAAATATTTAAGCACTCATTTAAAACCAGAGTGCAACCGTGCAATACGACCCACCAAAAACAACATGACTGAGCTCGCCTGGAATACAAAACAATCTGAAATTAATTTCTGCAGTGCTGAAACCCAAGACGCATTTCAGGGTAAGGAAAGCAAACGCACGAAGCACCCTTCCTCCTCCAGGGCTCTGCAGCTAATTGCTTGTGGACTCTGCAAGATGCCAGGAAAGGCAGAATGTCACAGACTTTCTCAGTGGAAATCATGAGAAAAACAGCATTTACTCTGACCATGACAATAAATGCTTTTAAACACACAGAGTCATCACAAGACGTTCTAAACAACGCAGAAGAAATCACTTCAGACAGAACTACCACTCTAGATGTACACACAGAGCCCCCCAGGCCTGTTGGAGCCATGTTTGTTCATTCTGCGCTCCTCTGCTTTGACTTCACCACAGGGCTTTTGAAAGGCTAAAATAAAGCACCACAAAGCTTGATGAAAACTCATATTGCCTTCTTCTGTGAGTACTCTGCATTAGCAGCTGGGGAAGCGTGATGTTCCTGCCTTTTTATTTGGCAGTGACCAATCAGAGCAGTTTTTCCCTTTTTTCTCCCAATATTTCTAATTCCAGAACTGCTCAGTGGAGAAGATTCACCTATAAAATGGAAAATCTCTGTAATTACACAAAACTCTACATACACATAAAGCTGTTCTTATGAATAAGATCAAATACATATGAGCTGCATTTAGAAAAACAGGCGCTCTACATATTTATGGAAATCAGCACAGCCATGCATCACGAAACACAATGCAACAAACTCTATTTTCCACTACAAAGCCCAACCCTTCGTGTCTGTAACATCTGGTCTACAGGAGACAAGCCGTTGTTCATAGTCAGGGATCAAGCTTGGATTTAAGCAACCAAAAAAACAATCAATGAACCTTCACACATTTTACATTCTTTCTAATTCCACCATATAGCTGCAATATGACTGAGAAATAAAATCATGGAGGGCGATGGTTTTATGAGATAAGAAATACTTTTCCAACATGGACTACTGGCTTACTTACAAAGGTACAACTTTTGTTGCTTCGAAAAAGACACCTGTTGTAGCCTCTCTTCAAAGGAAGTACATGCATCCATCCATACAGCAAACACAACTTTACATACAAGGGCTAGCCCAAAAGTAATGCTTCCTATTTTGTTATGTTGGCCCACAGTGTCAGAGGTGGATGTTGGTGGGATGGCTGTAGGGTTGAACCTTCCCACCAATACACCGTTACAGTTTGCTGCTGTGTGACAGATGGCAGCCGAGGGGCAAATTCTGACATGGAAGTGTGTATGAAGAAAGGTGTATCGCTGAATTCCTCCATGTGGAAGAAATGACATCCACTGACATTCATCAATGCTCGCTGAATGTTGATGGAGATCAAACAGTGAATGTGAGCACAGTGAGGCAGCAGGTGCTGCATTTCAGCAGTGGTGACAGCAACGGTGCTCACCTCTGCTTGTTCATGAGCATGGCATACAGGCTCCTGTTCATTGCTGGCAAAAGTGCATAGCTAATAGTGTGACTATGTTGAAAAATGTTATTCTGTAGCTGAGAATTTGCTCTGTCAAACAGTGTTATTAAGCTCTCTGCATATGTGGTAGTTTCCATGGAAATAAGTAAGAGGCATCACTTTCAGAACGACCTATGTGTTTAGCCATGCATCATGAACATACCTGAAGAGCCTCACCAGCCACATTAAGAGAAATGCATAAAGTCCCTTAAGCAACACAAAATTCTGAAAGTTTCCTACCACTGATAGCCTTCTGCAAGATGAAAGACTTCTGGGCAAGTACCAAGGGAAGGTTTCCCAAGCCTAGCTGCACAGCTCTGGGCTGGGAGTGTCACCTTGCACAACCAGCAGACACTCCTCCTCCAGCCCCAGGACACGCAGTACAGTAGCACCATCGCTTCTAAGAAAATAGCTTTATATCCTTCAAAATGATGACTGTGTCTTTCAAAAGTGGCCTTAAAGTGATGACAATCCAGTCTTTGAAGCATCAGATACATTCGTGTTCTCACGCAAACATGAGAGGGACCAAAATTATCTGGCTAATTTTTAAAGCAGTGGCCCAAAGGTACACTTTGGTGCTATGAATACAATGTTCCTTTCCCAACCTGAAATGCTGTTTAATTGAGTTAATAAGCTGTCTACTTCAAGCCACTGTAAATGAAAATATATATATATATATCTGTACTTTTCAGGATTTTCAGGTTTACTAATGAATAGCATTTTAACATCCTAGTGTTTTCTCTGCTGAGTCCCTGCATGGCCCAGTCCCACCATGCTGCTCCAGGCAAATGTCCATCTAACTACCTGCTGTTCCCAATACAGCAGTCTGTGGGCTGTAAGAGGGCTCTACTCACACAGCTGTTTTAAATGACATATTCAGTATATCTTGAAGTGTAGAATGATAGAATTATTAAGGTTGGAAAAGAACTCTAAGATCACCATGTCCAACCATCAGCCGACCTCCACCATGCCCCCTGACCGTGCTCCTCAGTGCCACATCTCCACAGTTCCTGACCACCTCCAGGGATGGTGACTCCACCACCAGCCTGGGCAGCCTGTGCCAATTTATCACCACTCTTCCTGAGAAGAAATGTTTCCTAATATCCAACCTGAATCTCCCACAGTGCTATTCGAAGCCATTACCTCTCATTCTATCACTGTTACCTGGGGGCAGAGGCCGATGCCAACCTTGCCACAACCTCCTGTCAGGCACTTGCACAGACCAGTAAGATCACTCTTCAGCTTCCTCTTCTCCAGACAAAATAATCCCAGCTTCCTCAGCTGCTCCCTATCAGACTTGTGCTCCAGACCCCTTACAGCTCCATTGCCATGCTCTGGACATGCTCCAGGGCCTCTAGATCTTTCTTGCAGTGAGGGGACCAAAGCAGTTCGTTCTTCCCGCTTCAGAAGGAAATTAGGTAAGACAAGGTACGCCACAGAACATCAGCACAAGATCAGACACACCAATTTTTATCTTAAACACAATGTTCACATTCTGCACAAAGATATGAACTTGGTCTAAAAGCCCAGTAAATGTAGAAAGTCCACAGGAAAGTACACTTCCAGATTTCATTCACACCCAATCATTATTTCCACGGTAATCTGTACACAGCAAAATACGCTTACGTTCTACACAAATTATAGAATCATAGAATCATAGAATCACCAAGGTTGGAAAAGACCTAAAAGATCATCCAGTCCAACCGTTCACCTATTCCCAATAGCTCCTACTAAACCATGTCCCTCAACACAACATCCAGCCTTTCCTTGAACACTCCCAGGGTCGGTGACTCCACCACCTCCCTGGGCAGTCCGTTCCAGTGCCTGACCACCCTTTCTGAAAAGTAATACTTCCTAATGTCCAGCTTGAATCTCCCCTGCCGTAGCTTGAAACCATTCCCCCTGGTCCTATCACTAATGAGACGAGAGAAGAGGCCGACCCCCAGCTCACTACAACCTCCCTTCAGGAAGTTATAGAGAGCAATGAGGTCTCCCCTGAGCCTCCTCTTCTCCAGGCTGAACATTCCCAGCTCCTTCAGCCTCTCCTCATATGGCCTGTGTTCCAGACCCCTCACCAGCTTTGTTGCCCTCCTTTGAACACGTTCCAGGGCCTCAATATCTCTCTTGCAGTGAGGGGCCCAAAACTGGACACAGTACTCGAGGTGCGGCCTCACCAGTGCTGAATACAGGGGAACAATCACCTCTCTGCTCCTGCTTGCAACACTGTTTCTGATGCAAGCCAGGATGCCATTGGCCTTCTTGGCCACCTGGGCACACTGTCGGCTCATGTTCAGCCGAGCATCAATCAATACCCCCAGGTCCATTTCCTCTACGCAGTCCTCCAGCCACACCGCCCCAAGCCTGTAGCGTCGCCTGGGGTTGTTGTGGCCGAAGTGCAGGACCCGGCATTTGGCCTTGTTGAAACTCATCCTATTGGCTTCAGCCCAGCTCTCCAGCCTGTCCAGATCCCTCTGTAGGGCCTCGCTACCCCCAGGCAGATCCACACTTCCAGCCAATTTGGTGTCATCTGCGAATTTACTGAGGGTGCACTCGATGCCCTCATCGAGGTCATCAATAAAGATATTGAAGAGGACAGGCCCCAGCACCGACCCCTGGGGAACACCACTCACAACCGGTCGCCAGCTGGATTTGACTCCATTTACCACCACTCTCTGTGCCCGGCCCTCCAACCAGCTCCCTACCCAGCCAAGAGTGTATCCATCCAAGCCTCTGGCTGCCAGCTTCTGCAGGAGAATGCTGTGGGAGACAGTGTCAAAGGCTTTGCTGAAGTCTAGGTAGACCACATCAACAGCCTAAATTAGGAGCTAGACTGGGAATTGAAGCTTAAGTGACCCCTAAACACCCAGCAATGAACCACACAGTGATTTAAAAAGCAGCAGCAGAAAAGTATGGGGCCAAATGAATGGGCTCCCATTGCAAACTGTACTCATTACAAAACCTCTATCACAAAACAACTTGGCTGTAACCTACCTGACCATATCTCATACTCTTGTGTAAGCATAAATGGGAAAGATAAATCCTAGTATATGTGGAATAATTTCCTGATTATTTAGGAGAACGTGCATCTCCCTATGCAAATGTCTTAGATCCCTATTAGGTTGATCCTTATTAGGTAAAAGTAATTTATTTGGTGTAAGCCAAATGGAAAAAAACGAGATCATTTTAAAATTGCCTAAGGTCACTTCATGGGCAAAACAATGTATTTAAACTGAAGAGATGACAACATGCTTAATATGACTACACAGAAATTGCTTCCTTGATGACAATACATTAAAATCCTCATTGAATATTCATAGAATTTCTGACAAGATTGAGTGACATGACATCGCAGTCTCGGCAGCGCTGATGGTCGAGCTGCACAAGGAGGGAGGGATGCACCATTGGGACATCTTTGTTCCTTCCAAGGCACCGGTGAGGATGAGCCTTTATCCCCAACATCACATAACTGAATAGGACAGCTGAAGTTTCTGTGTGGCAGCAGAACACTAGGCAAAGAGCAAAGAGAAATCCTTCACGCGACTTTCACTAAGTTATGACCTATGCATGATAAATAGGTAAGCAGAGTTTAAATGATGTGAAATATGTCAATTCAGAATGCATTAGGATGCCATTAACAGACAGGAGCTTAGACATCAGGAAAATATTAAGATGGATAGATCACTTAGCAACAATGGGACAGAGGAGGTTTTAATAAAGGCAATGCAAGGCAAAGTGCTGCTAACAGCCACAGATGTGGAGTGGCTGGATTTTTGTCAGATGTGCAACAACGTGATAAAATACAACTCCCTTTGAGACGTACAGGGATGGAATTGAAAAACGTTCAAGCCGCTCTTGTTTATTAATTGAGAAACATAACTGCTGGATCACATGTCAGTAATAGAATGAGAAGATGATTAATACTATATTTTAATCCCATAATAACTGTTTCATAATCTCCTGACTGCAGAAGCTCTACACAGCACTTTGTTATACCAACCCTTCCGTGTCAGACGATGTTTCCAACCAGCCCATCTGATAGGGGTTCAGACGACCTGAGGCCACAGCAGCGCAGCACTGAACGCTCAATGCCTGCGACACAGCAGCTCCATGCTACCTGCACAGGGCACGCAGCACCAAATGCCAGCAGAGGAAATGCATGCAGCCAACTTGTGAAACTGCACTCGATAGACTAGCAGGATCTGACAGAAGTTTACCAACCAGCAATGAACTACATGCATCTGCCTAGCAGGGGAACTCTGAAAGAGGTGCGTTTCTCTTCAGTTTTTCAGCGTGGAAACAAATGAGATTTTGAAACAATCACGAGCTGGCACAGGGATGGGTAAGGAAAACAGGCATGCACAGCACTGTGCAGCAAAAAACAACAGTAAAATTGAAATCATTCACTTATCTTGTTATTTTCCCATAACCCCAGGCTGGTTTCCTGACAGCAGCCAGATACATAGGTACACATGGCATGGGCAAAATTCTCATTTCTACTGTTATCCTGGATCACTGCCACCTTCCTCTGCTCCTCACATCACTGCCCACTCTGTGTGCTGCTCATCACAGCACAGACAAGATGGGGGTGCGAGCAATCATCCAGGAAGCCCAGCAGTGCTCCTCAAACCCATCACACTCCCCAGAGCACGCTGACTTGACATGCTCGGGGTCCAGAATGTCTGGCAGTAAGATGTGCTGGGTGGTGCTGGAGTGCGGGCACAGGGAACAGAGAGGTGCAGGGATACCTGAGCGTGTCCCAAAGCCTCCTAGACACGGGGCTGGGCACCCTGCTCCAGAAAACATGAGGAGAAACAGTTCAACTGTATTTTGAAGTTATTTTGGCTCCTCCCAGATAAAATAACACGCCCCACTTGAAGCCGTGCTTTGAGAAACACAGGAAAAAAATGAAATTCCAATGTGTCTCATGCTTCTTAAAGCTTTTTATCTACTTGTTTGCTTAAATTTCACTTTCCTTAATGCAGACAGCATCAAAAATTAAAGTGCATTTGTGGAGGTGGTACTGAAAGCAGAAAATAAATCCAGGGAAACTTTTCATTCAGGCAAAGAAATGAAACCCATCTCATCACAAGAGCTTCAGCAACACTTCCTGCAGCACACACCAGTGGAGTCAGAAGCATTTTCCTAGGAATAATTTTAAAAAGCCACTGATTTCCTTGTAATTACATACGATGCCTTCATCATCTTTAAAGAAGCAACAGGATAAATTTGAAAAAACAATTTTAAATTAATCAATTGTATGTCCCAAAAAGCAATGTATGAAAAGGAAATGCTACCTAATAAAATAATTTCAGACCAAGATCAATTCCACCTCATTTCATGTATAATATTTTTAGCACTATTTTTCGCATTCACTCAATTTCAGCACAGTACATTTACTTCTACAGAAACACTAACTAGGTCACGTTAACATTTTAGTTAACGCAGCGTTACATGCCACAAGTTCTTATCATCTTCCTTTCTCAACCTTAACTTTGCTTTACTGCTTTACTGCTTCAGTCAAGTTTGTTCTTTACGCAACGTGAAAGCCTATTCACAGCAATCACCTGAAGCCAATGTTAACATCTGTGAAAAACGTACTTTTAGAATGCTATTTGGAAATTTTCCTCCGGAAATGTTCCTCTCCTCACTCCTGCATATGCCCCCAACAGCCTCGGCAACAGCTCAGCATCCCCTGGCACAATGGATGCAGAACAAGAAGGTAAACAAGTTGGACATTTATACGTTACACAAAAAAGGAAAGGGAAATGAAAAGGGAGAAAGCGAAGGGAGAGGAAAAGGGAAAGGAAAAAGAAAGGGAAAGAGAAAGGGAAAAGGAAAGGAAAAGGAAAATTCACTGTAATACACAGAAAGGTACCAAAAAACATCAAGTTACGATGAAGCCAGGGCTTCCAAGGCAGCTCCTAGTGCCCGCCTGGATCCCATGCACAAACCCTATCATTTATCACTGCAGTGAACACAGCAGCACAGCCACAGCTAAGGGGAGACGGGTGCAATGGTTCTGAAGGTCTTCCCTGAACCCACATGTTTTGTGGGTCTCCAAACTACTCCGAGACCTCAGAACAGGAACACAACAAACAAACAATTTCAATTTCTGCTCTAATGGACATGGTTTAGTGGGAAATATTGGTGGCAGGTGAACAGTTGGACTGGGTGACCTTGGAGGTCTCTTTCAACCTTGGCATTCTATGGTCTTATGATTCGACTTCCAACTTCAGCCACTGCATTTTCCATGCAAATTTCCAGGGAATTTTCTAGAACAGAGGACATAAGCAAGGATGGGATTTCAAAGTTAAAGCACCAGAAAAAGAGAGGGATAAACCCACACAAACATGGTTTCCAACTACTGCAAACTGTAAGTGTACCACGGAACAGATTCGCCCAGCGAGTCCATCTCAAGCAGAAGCTCTATGGGGTGACTGCAGGCAACCAGGGAAAAAAAACCCTTCCCCTAGCAGTAAGTCACGGAGTGAGAAACTAAAAGTATTTTCACCCGTGGCACAAAACTTCACCAGCATTTTGCAACTGCCAGTTCTGTGCATCACTCAACATTCCTATTTTAGCACAAAGTGCTTTTGGAGATGTTACGATCTCTGCAAGTATCCGCATCCCATATTTAATTACTTTCCAAGTTGAAGAAGAAATTGAAATAAATGGAATGAATTTAAATTCATTATCAATTAAGTATAATTTAATTCATTACTCTTTCAACTTTCTCGTGAGAATTGGGAGCTGCAGGAGACGTGCATACCTGAGTGACAGAGCTCGATGTACCGTCACCAGTCCCATAGGAAATCACAAGGAACATATACATAGACATCGGAAACCTCTCGGCCAAAAAACGAGATGGTAGCAAAGATAGATTTTTGGTGGATGAGAAGCGGGACGTGAGCCAGCAGTGTGCCCAGAAGGCCAACTGCGTTCTGGGCTGCATTAAAAAGGGGTGGCCAGCAGGGAGAGGGAGGTGACTGTTCCCCTCTACTCTGCTCTTGTGAGGCCCCATCTGCAGTGCTGCATCCAGGCCTGGGGCCCACAGTACAGGAAGGACAGGGAGCTCTTGCAGCGGGTCCAGAGGAGGGCACTAAGATGGTCAGAGGGCTGGAGCAGCTCTCCTGTGAGGAAAGGTTGAGGGAACTGGGCTTGTTTAGCTTGTAAAGAGAAGGCTCACTGTGGCCTTCCAGTACTTGAAGGGAGCATATAAACAGGATGGGGAACGGCTGTCTATGAGGGTGGATAGTGACAGGACAAGGGAATGTTTTAAACTGAGACAGGGGAGGTTTAGGTCAGATATTAGGAGGAAGTTTTTCACACACAGGGTGGTGAGGCACTGGAACAGGTTGCCCAAGGAGGCTGTGGATGCCCCATCGCTGGAGGCATCCAAGGCCAGGCTGGATGTGGCTCTGGGCAGCCTGGTCTGCTGGTTGGTGACCCTGCACATTGCAGGGGGTTGGAACTAGATGGGCTAGGGTCCTTTTCAGCCCAGGCCATTCTATGATTCTAAGATTCTAAGAACAACATCTGTATTGGAATTCAGCACAAGTTTCTAAAAAGGTAAAGCATGCTTCTTCTCAGGAACGCACTGAACATTCAAAAGTTGAAAACCAGCCACCATGTACCCATTTCTCCACAAACAGGACAACAAACTAAACGGGCTTCAGATCTCATTCCCATGCTGATGCTCCTCAGCTCTCAAACT